TCCACAATAGGGAAGGCCAGAACCCCTGGCAGCTGAACCACCTAGGCTTTGGCTACGAGGCCCAGGGAGGGTCCATTCTGGCCCTGCCTCTACTCCTGGACTCATATGACTGTGGGGTCCTCCTTCTTGAAGGTCATACATGAACCATAGGTTCTCTGGGGGTGGGAGTCAGCATTGCTATCAAACAAGGTTTCTTGTGAGCCTAGGAGGAAGCATGGACTTCTACACTCTGAAGCTAGAGATGGCACGATTAGGGTCCTTATTACCTCCTCCAGCTCCTGCTGTGGGTACTGACAGCACCAGGCCCACAGAGGTCACAGAACCTCTCCATGCAGCATGCTATTAGCCCCACCCCAATCATACCTGTGAAAGGCACCCAGATCCAGCCTGGACTCTTCATCCTGGTCTCCCAGAGCTTTCAGGGCATATCTACCCTGCTGTCTGCCATTGCTGTACCTGCTATAGACTCCTCCAGCCTCTCCAACTGCAGGGTATTGAAAACTGGGGCCCGGCCACTGGTTTATCTGTGCTGGGATTTTGTCTGGATTTAGAGTGCCAGTTACAGTGGAGTGACCCCTGCACGTAAGCACTCCCCCCCCCACACACACAAGCCAAGTATTGCTGAAGAGGCATGGAGTGCCCCCTGGTGGCAATTAGGGGCTGCAGCCAGGATTCTGGCTGGGTCAAGGACACAGGGGAGAAGAGAACCAGGCTTCAAACTCATACTTCACTTGACTGTAAGAGCTATCATTACCACAGGGACACCAGAAATCTTTCAGAGTCCCATGCCAGGGTCACTCTATGTCTGGAATCTACCTTTTCTCCACTCAGACCAGAACTCAAGCTAAGTGTGCAGTGGAGACACCTTGCTGCCTCCCAGTCAGGGCTATCCTGGGGTCCTTGAGGGGGAGGCAGACAGGGACTGAGGACAAGTTAGCTGTACAAATGACATACAAGTCGAATAAATATCAAGGGGACCTTTGAAATCTCATGAGTGCAGGTGGGTCCCCAGAACTACTTCTGTGGACACTGAGTAGACTCTATGGTGGTGACAAAGTGGGACTCTATTGATTTAAATGAGACTCTTTTCTATAGGCTCAGAAATGTGAACACTTGGTCCCCAGATGGTGGCATTGTTTGGGAAGGTTTAGGAGGTGTGGCCTTGATGTACAAATATGTTACTGGGGTGGGATATGGTTGTTTATAGTCTTGATTTGTGTCCAATTCTCTCTTTCTCTCTCTGTTTCATGCTGTGGTAAAGGATGTAAGCTCCCAGAATTCTGTTTCTGATACCATGTCTGCCACTTGCTGCCATGCTTCTATACCATAGCAGACTCTTACTCCTCTGGAACCCATAAGCCCAAACTGTCTTCTGTAAGTTGTCTTGGTCATGATATTTTATCACAGCAACAGAATAGTAGCTTTGGGGGAATATTATTTTAAGGTGTGTGATTTTTGTTTATGCTGCATTTGTTTAACTCTGTGATTCTTTGCCTGTTAAAACACTTGATGGTTTAATAAAGAACTGAATGGCCAGTAGCAAGACAGGAGTAAAGATAGGTGGGCCTGGCAGGCAGAGAGTATCAATAGAAGGAGAAATGAGGAAGAAGAGATTAATGAGAGAACAAGGAGAGGAGGACTTCAGGGGCTAGCCACACAGCCAGACACGGAATAAGAAGGAAAGAAAAGGTATAAAGCCCTGAGACCAAAGATAGATGGGATAATTTAGGTTAAGAAAAGCTGGCAAAAAACAAGGCAAGCTAAGGCCAGGTACTCATAACTAAGAATAAGCTTCTGTGTATTTATTTGGGTGCTAGGTGGTGGGCCCCTTGAAAAGCCAAACGAGTAAAACATCACACAAGTAGCTAATGTATCAGAAAAGGAGCTAGAAGTGGCTCTCTCTTCCCTCTACACATGGCACCCAAGATCAGGCACAGCAATCTCTGCTCTAACCCTTTTATCTTGCTAACTTGTCCCAGGTAGAGCTGTGGGCAGTCTGGTCCCTGAGCACCTGTGGGCCCCTGCATGTCTCTGCAATCTGGGGTAGAGGTGTTGGAAGAATGATGAGGTTCCCTTCCCAGGATTATGCATAGCCAGAGAACAATGAGAACCTGCTAGATACCAAGCATGGTGAGGTGGTCATGAGCTGGTACAATTCCTATGTTCCAAGGATGGCTCCCAGCACAGCTAGCTTGGACCCGTCTTTGAGTTCTTTATTTCACTGGACACTTCTGCGGCAACCTCTTGATGGATTCTCGTTGAAACACACAGCTCAGCTCAGCTCTGCTGCTGACTGATCTTCATGAGGTTTGGTTTTCTTGTCCATGACAGGGGACCCTGCTCTCTTGAAGGGCTTCCATGGGGATTGTCATGGGCATACAAAATTCTGGAACAATAATGATGGTGATGGTGGGGAAACTAAGGTTCAAGAAGGATGACATGAAGGGGGTCCTGGGGCTAGCTCAAAAAAAAAACTGATTGCATACCTGGATCTCTGAGCATGTTCCATGTCTCTGCTCCCCCTAGGAGTTCCCAGACATAAACCCCAACCATAGATAAGACTTCTAGAGCCTTCTTGAAATATCTTACTCCTTTCTGGATCTGCTTTAGGGTGGGGTAGCTAGATATCCCAAGTTTATCCCAAGTTTATCGTTTAGCCTGAAATTCCTTCATCATGGGTGAATGGGACAGTTGATCATCCTCATTGATGGGCACCTGTGGTCCCAGGCCTTCGACAGGCCAGTTCAGGGAGGAGCTACCCTTACCCAACTCACAAAGGTAAGCCAAGGTTGCCTCATAAGGCCTCTCGTGAGCAGATCACATGGGAAAGGTGCACATGTGCATCCGCGCGCGCACACACACACACACACACACACACACACACACACACACACACACAGAATCAGGCCTCTCCAGAGGGCAGATGCTCTATTCTGACCTTTCTCCCTTCTGACATGGTAGAAGGATGCCATGTCTGGAAAACAAATGCTTGTGAAGTGCATTTCTTTATACTGTAGTGTGCACAGAGGTACACTACAGTATAGCTCCATGTGGGCTCCGGCAGAGTCCTGGCTTCCTGGCTAGTAGCAGCAGAGAGCCTTCTTCAACAGCTTGTAATGCCACTGTAGTACAGCTGTCCATCCAGTGACACAGACAATGGGATGGACATGGGTGAGAGAAGGGTCATTTCTCTGCATTCTGTCCAGGTGAGCAGAATGATAGGGTCCATCCAATCTTGGGAAGTATGATCACCAACCTACCTGGGCTCTCCTTTCTTGTGCTCCCTTGGTTCTGCTTTACTCAGAGGGAATCTCACTTTAAAATACATTCTCACCAGAAAGCAGGAATGATAGACATTGCTGCCTCTCACAGTCCTGCTTCCTCAACTATTGTCACCCAGGCACCCACCTTCAAGGCATTGGGCACTTAAAAGGACCCAAGGAATTAGGCCCCAACAACAGCAAAGTCTCCATCGCCATGGCAATCCTAGCCTGGACCAGCTTCTTGTATTCTCCCAGAATAGCCAAAGAGGCAGTCCTCAGGCTTCTGGTTAGTACAGTTCTAAGACAAACACCATCAAGGTGGAGTGGCCAAAGGCACATGCCCTGTCCCTCCCCCTAGCATAGGCCAGAGGTCTTAGCTGCAGGATGGGCAACAGCTGGGGAGTCAGGCACCCTAACAGGGAAGCTAGGGAGTGAGGCACCCTTTCAAGATGGAGGGTAGGCTTGTGGGGGAAGAGGGTAACCAGCCCCTTCCAAATGTTGACAGGAAGACAAACTCTGCTGCTCAATTGTCCCCAAGATACAGATGCTCCAGTCTTCTAGAAGAAAATCCACATCAGCACCAACACCATCACCTACCCAACAGAGACAAGGATTCAGTGTTCATAGAAGAAGCCAGAGCATATGCAATCCTTAAATAGATTTATGGAAATGGTTTTGAATTACAGCATTTAGAAAATAAAAATAATCTTAATACATAATATTCCCTCTGTTATATACTCTCCCCCCACCCCCGCACAGAAGCCATTTTTGTGCATGTGTATTCCACTGCTGAACAGCGATTGGATTTCATCCTATAAAAGAAGCAGTAGGTGTGTCATCTCTCTAAAAATAAAACTGTAATCATCATTGCAACGTGAAGCCTGAGATTGAAGCCTGAGGAGGTGTCTGTGCGTCTCAGCCTGTCCAGGCTGCACTGAGGTCTGAGGAGGTGGGTTAGAGTCCCAGTGGGTGCAGAGGAAGAAGGAAATGTTAGCCATGTGGTGGCTGCCTGATGAGTCCTAAACACCTGAGAGCTCAGCCTATGGTATCAGCGGGTAGTCAGCCCCTGCTCTGCCAGCAAGTGGCAATGGTGTAGATGCCAAGAGTATGCCTGCTTCCCCAGACCATTGTGTCTGCTTCCTACATTTCCCCTTCAAAAAAGAAACGAGATGCATGTTGAGCAGGGTCCCAAGGCAGGCAGTGAGCACTAGGGAATGAGGAGGGTGGTAAACAGCATGGATTCCTGCTATGATGTTGGGGCTTAGAGCCTCCTGACTTCTGCTTCCAGATTCTCAGCTACAGAAGACCACATAGAGAATTGGTCCTCTCTTGCCTTAATATGCACAGCTGCAGCAAAGTGCCATTAGATGGGCAAGAGAAGAGAGTCCAACCCTGCCTGGCTAGGTACCCTGACCTGGAAGCAGCAACTGGGTATCCCTGGGTTCCTCCTCTGAATAAAGCTGATCTCTCATTGGCCCCATGCCAGCACTGGTATCTCCACAGGTGGAGAGGCCAGGGAGAGTAGACAGAGGCTCTGAACATTCTGGAAACCTGGGCAGGTCTGCAGCAGCAGAAGCTTGATGAGATGCAATGAGGCCACCTGCAGCACAGCCTGAACACGGCACACAGCAGGCACAGCACCTCCTTCCTGGAGACCCTGGCTAGGACTCAAGGCAGACATGGTGCCTTTGTCCTGGAGTCTCCAGCCTGCTCAGCTGGGACATGCCAGGCACAGCGTCACATGCCCGTCTTGTCACTGTAGAAGGGTGTAACATGGAACATGTAGCAGTGTGTGCACACGCGGACTGGCTTCACCTGTCCATATCTCGGAAGGGGTGCTGAGTGTGATGAGCAGCGGGAACAGAAGATCTGGAAGCCAAGGAGGGATAGAAGGTAGTGAGCAGATAGGGCCTCTGTCAGACCCTTTACACAGCCCTCCCACCCAAACCATGCAAAACAATGGTGGGCAGCAGTCAGCCTGACCCAGACCTGCAGACTATGGAGCTGGAGTTTTCATGAAACTCTGGGTAGGGCTGGCCTAACAGGTCAGGCTTTTTGAAAGTAACTAGGCCCTTCACCATAACCACTGCAGACCCCTTCTCAAGCCCCCTGCCTGCTCCCTGTTTTCACCTCAGAGGGGCCAGGATTGAACCTGGATACTACCGAGGAAGGGCCTAGTGCATGGAGGCAGAATAGAGCCTGGAACCTGGAGGGGCATCTGCACAAGGACTACAAAAGGTCTGGATTACTAGAACATCAGCCCTAACTTCTGAACCCCGATGCTGTGCCTGGGGACAGTCCCCACACAACACCAAAGACACTGAGGGCCAGTGGAGCCCCACCCACCTTCCCACAGCTGCGGCAGTGGTGCTTCCTGCGGATGACGGTGAAGGGAGCTTTGCAGGAGGTGCAGAAGCCACAGGCCTCATCTGGCACCCACTCAGGAGGGTCTGTCACAACAAGAGCAACAGGGCATCAGACATGTAGAGCGGTGGGTTGGGGGCAGGGAAAGGGTAGAGGCCTGGCTGGTGGATAGACACCCCTTATCGCACTCCTCTGATCCTGCTCTAGACTTGTCAGTCACTACCTGTGACTAGTTACAGTGTCAGTGGACAGAGTCACACCCCAGTTGCAGGCTCCAGACCAGGCCATCTGGACTCAGGATATACAGCAGTATCAATGATCATGCGCTGCTAAGACCTTCATCTCTGGTCACTCTGTTTAGCCATCTAATGCAGACCTCCCCGACCCAGGCACACCTTTAACATTATAGTAGCATACTTTCCCTCAAGCCTTGAGTCCTCTCCCATAGACACACTGCAGTATCCTCAAACAGTCCGGGATTCCTCTCCCCTGACATCTGAGCTGCCTGGCTTCCAGCCCACTCTGCGTAGACTCCATGTGACCATATCAGTCTGCAGGCCCTGTCCTCACCATAAGGAAGGCTTCTGCACCCTCCCAAAGCCCCTATTAATGTCCCAGATTGTCCTGAGGCTGCTATGTGAGACTCCTTCAGTGCAGGTGAAGTACTGGGGGATTGGGTATTGTAGCCATAATCAAACTTGCTCCTCATCCCTGAGCTTGTACCTACCAGGCTGAGCTGCTAAACAAGAGGCCCAAGGTTACATAGCAGTAAAGGGGCTGTATACACCTAGTACTAAGAAGGAGGTACAGAGTGGGAGACCATCTCCAATGGGATGCTGTATCCATAAATGGCCTGATATCCAGATGAACATGAACAAAGTAGTCCTTCTGCTCAGCAGACAGCATGTCGGGTCCACATACCAGAGAGTCCCACATACCTTCAAAGTCCCCATCTCGGGTCTTGGCTGCCAGTTCTGAGGATGACACAGTCTCCTGGCATAATGCACAGTCCTCCAAGGCTGCACTCCGTAGGGTCTGGGTTACTGTAAGAGAGAAGGAAGCCACCGGGGTTGGCAGGCAATGCAGTAGATGCAACTGATTGTCCTTAGTGAGTACTTGGGTGCCTCTAACTTTGCAGCTCCCCACAAGCCCCCCCCCCGTCATTTCTCAGCACACAGAGCAAGTCACCTCAGCAGGTAGGACGCCAATACTGGCAAAGTTCTTCCTACAAAAGGGTCCATTCTTCCTATAGTGTGGTGAATCCCAGGGGCACTTGGTGGCTCCTCTGCATGAGCATCTAGCCCTGGGCCCTGACACTGACTGGTCAGATTTCCTGGCCTATGATCCTCAAGGCAGAAGTTTAAAGCCATGGCATCTGAGAACCCTGTCCAGAGTGTGGCCAAGGTGCCTGTCCTTACCATCAGCTTGACTCAGGATTTCCAGAAGGCAGCCCTGCCTGAATTGCCAGTCAGAATTTGGCTGGTTGATGCAGAAGTTCCTTCTCACCAACAAGGACATGCTCTGTTGGGTCAGACTTCCAGGATTATCTGGGTTATTCCATATACCCGGGTAGCTCATGGACAGAAACACATGTGCAAAGATATAGAGCTCTCCAAACAGGGACCCTACAGGGACAAAGGCAAACTCCCTTCCTAGCCAAATATCTATTTACCAGTTGTGTGTGTAAGGTGTGCATGTACATAAAAGTGTATACATATATGCATCTATGTGTAAATGTGAGAACACATATGTATGCCTTCAATGAGTTGAACATGTATAAATATGGGGCAACTAGGAGAGGATATTGCCACCCTCTCATAGAGGGATGGTCCTGTGTCCCCTTTTTGACTCAGGCTGGGATGGTCTCCAAACACTTTGAGAGATGAGCGTTAGTCAATCTGGAAGGCAGATTCCCAACCTCCGTCTGCAGTAAAAAGTTGGATGGCCTGCTGAAGCCTATGCAAGAACCAGAGCTAGGGACCCACCTGCAAAGTCGCATGTTATACACTCTCATATATATATTCTCCAGGTTATACACTCATCTTCCCAAGTTGACAACCTGGCACATTGTTCTGGCAGATCCTGGGGTATGTGGTTGCCTTGGAGGTGTGATTTCCTGCATATTCCCTTCATCGGGACAGTGGATACAGTGGTTGGCAAGAGCCTCAGAGCCTATCCTGTAGCAGCACTCACCCTTCTTTAGCTTCTCCTTGTCGTCTGTTTCTGGCTTGGTGGCCATGACCTCAAACAGCGTTTTGAGAATACTTCTCAGGTCGCTGGCATAGTTCGTCTGCAGCTGGTCAGCTACACCTGATAGAGAAGCCAGTGGGAGAAGTGACAAGAAGACCACACTGCCATGTGCTGGATAGAACACACCCAAAGCTCATGGGTCAGCAAGTCCCAGCCCCTTATGAGAGGATTCCCTTGACATGAGTACAAACTCAGGAACCCAGAGAGACTAGGAAGGAATGAGAGCTTCTTGCCCATCCCCACCACTGCTGCTCTCATAGATACATAACTTATCCAGGGTCACAACCACCACAATTAAACTGTGGTGATTGCTTGCCAAGAGATACCCATAGAGGTCCTCATAACACTGTGCCTATGGCAGCACCTGTTGCCATCGTAGAAATAAGGAAATCCAAACAAATTTACCTTCTCCTAGTACCCCATACTACATCGCTCTGAGTAACTTTGACTACAGAGTCACAGAACAGGCTCTATAGCCATGGATCCCAGGGTAAATCCCACCCTGAGGTGGTGTCCAGGGCCTGGCTGTTTGGTCACCTGAGCCCATCACTCCCAGCTGCCCCTTCTTCACTTACAGAGATCCTTCCTCTCTGCAGAACAGACCTAGTCCCACCCCTAGGCTTGTTCTGCAGATCACATTGCCCTCCACTTTAACCAGGGCAAGCTGGGCCAGCCCCGTCTCCACACTCATGTCCTAGGTCCAGATCTCGCACCTGAAATGCAGACAAACAGACGGTGGATCAGGTCATGGCTGCCATGAAACCTGGACCGGATCTTTTCTCTGGTTGCCATGGGAGTGAGAGGCATGGCTGCAGGGGCCACCTCCAGCCTGGTGTTGTCTAAGGAGCAGGAACCAGCTGTGGAGCTGATACAGAGAAGAGAAGCAGAGCAGGTGAGTAGGACTTTGTTTAAGACCATGACCAAAAGCAACTTGGGGAAGAAAGGATTTATTTCAGATTACAACTCTCAGGACTTTCCATCGCAGAGGGAAGTCAGTACAGGAACTCAAGGCAGGAACCTAGAGGCAAGAACTGAATCAGAGGGCAAGGAGGAACACTGTTTGCTTTCTATGGCTTGCTCAGCCTGCTTTTTTATATAACCCAAAACCACCTGTCCCAGGGCTGGGCCCTCCCTCATCAATTACTAATTAATGTAAAAAATGACCCACAGACATACATACAGGACAGTCTTACAGATGCATTTCTCAGTTAAGATTTTCCCTTCCCAAACGCCTAGGTTTGTGTCAAGTTGACAAAAAACCAACTGGCACAGGGCCTCTGGAGCCAGAGGTCAGAAGTCTGTCCTCCAGCTCCCCTCCAAAGGAGTTGCAATGCCTGGATATGATATTTCCTATCATGTAAATGACAACAGTGTCCACTTTTAAAAAACAATGGACCTGACAGACTAATCCAGTATTGCCTTGCTCTAGTCTTTGATAGCTACTACTCCCCTGCATTAGCCCTTTCAAGTGGGCTGATGTAGCATCTACTCTAGCTTAAGCTATTCCATCTTGCATCCTCATTTAACATAATCTCCCAGATTCTTTCCATGGAGCTTTGACCTGTCACACCATCTGTGGGAACAGAAAGTCCCCCGCTCCCCGACCCTGAATGCATGTATGCACACCTGACCCCTTGAATTCATGAGTGGAACCTTATTTGGAAAGAGGATCTTTTCAGATGCAGTTAAGTGGAGGGTCTGGCACTGAGACTATCCTAGATCATTCAGTGGGTCCTAAATTCCCTGACACAAAAGTGGAGGCACAGGGACTCAAGATGAACAGGAAACCACATGTCCAGAGTGTGAGATTGGAGCGAAGCAGCCAAAAGCCAATGAACACTTGGAGCTCTCTAGAGTTGGAAGAGGCAGGAAGGACTCTCTTTGGTGTTTCAGGAGGGAGAACAGCTTTGCCAGATTTTGGGCTTCTGGCCTGGGGACTAGAAGAGGATGCATATTTGACAATTTAGGTCACTTATTGTGACAATTTAGGTCACTTTGTTACAGCAGCCACAGGACATTCAAGTATTCTCTCCCTCCTAACACCTGTCCCTCCTCTCCCCAGTGGCTAGTTTTGTTGGATTTGTTCTTTAGGAGTTAATTCTGACTGTGCATAAGGGATTTGATGGGGGAAGTCCTTCTGTGTATATGTTTGTCTTATTGGTTGATAAATAAAGCACTGTTGGCCAATAGGAAAGCAACATAGGTGGGGCTAAGAGTCGAGGAGGATTCTGGGAAATGTAGTAAAGACAGGAGTCAAGATGTGAGCCTGGCAAGAGAGGATGTATGCCGCTAGCCTCCTCGATCAGATTAAGTCTTTATAAAAATATATAGATTAGTAGTTATGGTTGATAATTAAGACTGAGCTACCAAGTAAGAAATCCTAGTCATTGGCCAGCAGCATTGTACCTAATATTAATCTCTGTGTGTTATTTTGGGCACCCATGTGGCAGCGGGGCTCGGGCAGCTGGTGGAAAGATTTATTGTTACAGGGATTCATAGCCAAAATCTCTGAGAGTTAGGACTCAACCTGGCCAAACCCAAATCAATTAGAGGCTGCCGGAGGCTCCAGCCCAAAGAGTTTTCCATGCCTGTTTTTGATCTTTACCATTAGTAAAGCTGAACTGCTAAACACAAAGCAAGGGCTTCTTAAACTTACAGCAGAATGGAGGAGCCACAGAACAACATTGGGTACAGGGCTGAAGAAGCTAAAGAGTTCCCAAAAGAAGTCTGGTTGGAAATGATGGGGAACAAAGCAGCAGAGATAACAAGAGACAGGGAAAGTCAAGGGGAGGCAAGAAAGGGCAGGCTATGAGCTGAGGCCAAAGAGAGAAAGGGGCCAGAAGATGGCTCAGCAGTTAGGAGCAATGGCTGCTCTTCCAGAACACCAGAATTCGCTTCCCAGATCCCACATGGTACCTCACAATTGTCTGTAATTCCAATACCAAGGGATCTGACTCCCTTTTCTGATCTCCACAGGCACAAGGCATGCATGTAGTTCACAACTATACATGTAGGCAAAACATTCATACACATTAAATAAACACATGAAAGGTAGAAGGGTTGGGAAGAACTAGAAAAGAGAAATTGCAGGTCTTGGTTGCCAGAAGTTTCAGAGAGCTGCCAAACTTAAGTGCCTAGAGTCTGTCACCCTAAACTGTAATGCTACACACTGTAGCACTGAGCACATCAGCACCCAAGGACCATTCAATAATGCTAAAACTAGCTGGCACAGCTGGCTATTGCTTCTAACTGCTGCCAAGAAGTGGGGCCACTGGTTGTGTAATCCCACTGCAATAGGTCTCCAATTAGAGTGTCTAGAGCCACAAGCCTGCAGCATCTACATATATACCCTGGTACAATAACCCTGCTCGGAGCTGTTAGCCTTTGGGTATGTCATTCTAGTCCCTAGGCCTCAAGCATTCAAGAGCCCAGGACTGCCAGCAATGGGAGAGCCTTTCCTTATTGCATATTCTCCCCAGGCAGAGTACCCCAGTTACTTGATAGACAGCAACTCATGATCTATACCCTCTCTTTTCCTTTTGGTGGAAACTGATTTATTTGTTAGTCTGTTTTCTATACCAAAGTCTTGCCTCAAACGCTTGTGGGTACTTGTATGATACAGTTGAGATAAGGCTGGCCTTGAACTTACAGAGATACACTTGCCTCTGCTTTCTGAATGCTGGTATTAAAGGCAGAACCATACTTGGCTCAGGTGATTTTTCTTTTTTGGGACAGGGCCTCATGTAGACTACATTGGCCCCAAACTAGTTATTGTAACGAAGAAGGCCTTGAACTTTGGATCCTTCTGCCTCTACCTACCAACTGCTGGGAGTACAAGTGTGGGCCATTATATCTGCCTAATTTTATTGTTTTAGAAAAGGTCTCACTATGTAACCCAGGTTGACCTCATGATCCTCCTGCCTTAGCTTCCTAAGTGCTAGGATTAAAGCCACATACCACCATGCCCATCTCACTCAAAAGAATTGAAAATAGGGACCCAGGCAAATGTTTGTACAGAGATGTTCTGAACATCATTATTCACATGCCCAAGGGTGAAAACAAACCCAAGTCTATGAAGGAGGATGAGTATATAAACAAGGCAGTGAAATATTGTCCAGCCTTCAAAATGAAATAGATTCTGACACATATTCCAATATAGATGGACCTTGAAACATTCTAAGTGAAAGAAACCAGATACAAAAGAAATCCTACATGACTTTATCATGTGAGGTCTCTAGAGTAGGTTAAGCCAAAGATACAGAAAATAGAGTGGGTAGATGCCAAGGGCTGGGGCAGGTAAATGGAGACAGAATTCAGCTTAGAAGAGGAGAACATGCTGGAGAGGGAAGTTAATGATGGCTGACTGAGGCTGCAAGTGTGGTATTACAATGCAGCTGGAATCACAGTTAAAGTGACAAATTTGATGTATGGGTATTGAATGAACATAAAACAAAACAAAAACAACCAGGGCAAAGGAGAACAAGGAAACGGTGTTAAGGACAAAAGGCATAACATGAATGCACTGGAAATGCTATTAAGTAAAATGGCCTTCAAGATGGCTCAGCAGGTAAAGGCACTCATTGCTAAGCCTGAGGGTCTGAGTTTAGTCCCTGGCTCCACAGACATGAGGGAGAGAACCTACTCCTGCAAATTGTCCTCTGACTTCAATAAATGCACTGTGGCATGCATGCCATGACCCTGACCTCCAACCACAAAATAATAATCACAAATTAAAAGAAAACACAAATGTCATACAAACATAGATGAGAGACTAGAAAACACCAAATATTTCTTTTCTGGCCAGAAGAATGAATGACACAGTCATGGTGGTACATTTCCATAATCCCAGATTTGGGGAGGAGGCAGAAGAGAGGTAAGTTTGGAGTTAACCTGACCTACATAGTAAGATCCAAACTCAAACAAACAAACATAAATAAATAGAAATTCTATTCCAAGAAGAGAAGGAAATGGCAGCTAGCAGCAGATGGCACCCTTGGTCCTGCTCATGGTGGTGGCACCAAGAGGCTTAAAAAAGAAAGAGGTGGTTTATAGGCTAGGGCACAGTGGGAGCCAGACCAAACATGTTGCTGAAGATTTGTCTCCAGAGTTCAAAGTAACAGGCACATATGACCTACCTAGAAGTTAGAAATGAAGGCTTTGCTGATCACACTAAGGCCCTGGGCATGGTCAGTCCCACTATCCTAGACATCTCAGTCCCAAGAGCAAAGCTCCAAAGCTGAAATAGCCACAGCATGTCTGGCTCTGCCTTCTTCATGAGTCCTGGGGTCAAGCATAGTACTGGATAATTTTGTCAACTTGACACAAGTTAAAGTCATTTGAGAGATGGAAACCTCAATTAAGAAACTATCTTCTTAAGTTTGGGATGTAGGCAAGCCTGTAGGGCATTTTCTTTCTTTCTTTTTAAAACTGTTTTTTTTTTTACTAATTTATTTTTTACATTCCAATCCCAGTTCCTCCTCCCTCCTCTCCCCCTGCTCCACAACTTCCCTCCCCACCCCACTTCCCAACTTCTCCTTGGAAGAGGGTAAGGTTTCCCCTAGGAAGTCTACTAAGACTGTCCCATCATCTCGTTGAGGCAGGACCAAGGCACCTCCTCACACCCCACACCCGTGTCTAGGCTGAGCAAGGCATCTCTCCATATAGAAAGTCAGTTTGGCATTAGAGTTAGATCTTGGACCCACTGCCAGTGGCCTCATATATTGTCCCAGCCACACCATTGTCACCTCTATTAAGGGAGTCTAGTTTGTTCTTATGCAGATTCCCCATTTGTTAGACAAGAGTTGATGGAGGATGTCCTTCTGTATGCTATGAATATATGTTTCTCTTATTGGTTGGTGAATAAAT